TACGACCACAGATACTACATCTATAGAGTCTCTTATTTTGATTTTTACGTTTATGTGTTCCAACACTAATATGAGTTCGCTTATTGAAACCATACAAAATAATATCTTGTTTACGACATGTCGAACAACTTAATTTTCCACTTCTTAATGTCTCAGAAGAGACAAGGCATAAGAAAAACAAAAAGAATAGAAAAAAAAATTTCTTGTTCATACTAAAACAAAATTAGATTAGAATAAAATTATAAATATTATAAAATAAAAAATAAACATACTTTATTTATTTAATTTTTTTTTTAAAATTTAAAAAAAAGCGTTACATGTAAATATATATATATAAATTTTATTGTATATAAAAAAATTGTTAACTATTCATTCCAAAAGCTTGTACCCAAATATCTTTAGCAAATTCAGCTCCAAAATAAATATAATCTTTATCAAGAATTTGTTTTTTATGGCCAGATGATTCCATCCAACTTTCAATTGCTTTTTTTTCTGTTTCATAATGAAAGCCAAGATTCTCTAACCAGTATATTCCTTTAATTTTTTTTCATGTGTTAGGAATATGATCAAAAATTTTATTTTTTGCTAGATATTCAGCATATTTTTGTGCGGCTTCTACTAATTGACTAAAGAAATATTAAAATATATTATATAAAAAAATATAATTAAATGACTTACTTATTTAATTTAAGTTTTTTAAGACCAATTTTAGTTCTTTCATTATTTGTATATTCTAGTAAGAGATTAATATTTATGTTTTCTTTCGCATATAAATGTCCAAAAATTAATACCCAATGTTTATTTTTAAAAGATGCTCCAAAATGATTGTAGTTTTTATCTAATAAAATTTTTTTATAATTTTTATTATTTACTAACGCATTAAAAACTTCATTTTCTGTTGTTTTATTAAAATATTGAATATCATAGTAGTAAAAGTTTTTAACATTAGTATTTTTATCATATTCATTCATTAAAGAAATATTTTCAGCATGTTTTTTAGCTACAAAAATTAAATGGGTATTCCATTCTAATTTTTTTAAATTATTTTTTTTACGAAGGTTATTTAATTGATCAAGTAATTTATCGATCATTTTTTTAAATTTTAGAAAAATAAAATTTTTAATATTTATAATAAATTTTATTTATAAAATATATAATATAAATAATTTATAATATGTATGATATGTTACAAATTTTCAAAATGAATTTCATTACAATCACCAAAAGATTCAAGTGCTTTATCATAATCAGTATTTTCTAATTCATTTAAATTATTAGTATTAAAACTTACAAATTTAATATCAATAGAACCAGATATATTAAATTTATTTTCATTATTTTT